AATTGGTCAGGAAAGTTAATGCCCGCCTTGCCTACACTGGGATCATAAGACCATGAAGGAGAAGTGCTTCTTCCTGGCTGGGCAAGTGGCTGATGCTGACTGTCACTGGGAGAAGGTGCAGTGGAAAGGTCAAGTTCTAGAATGAAATGGCCTGGAATTCTGGTTCCAACTAGCAATTGTGGAATCTTGGTGTTCCACAGGCAATCTGCCTCCAGCTTCCTTATCTGTAGAATGGGGGATGATACAGGACCACTCCAGAGGGCTGTTGTGAGGGTGAATTAAAGAGCTTAGCTTGTAAACTGACTATAATTCAATCAAAATATATATATTAAAAAAACAAATCTATGTATGTTCATGTATGACTGAAGCATTCTGCTGTACACAAGAAATTGACACAACTCGTAAACTGGCTATACTTCAATTAAAAAAATATATATTAAAGAGCTTAGCACATCCCCCGCACAGAGTGTGCCAAATCAACACTAGCTGTTATTAGCATCATTACTCTCAGTCTATCTTCCCTACCAGACGGTGAACAGGGAGCTCGTTTAATTCATCCTTATATTCTCGGTCCTGAGAAAACTGCTTACCTAGTCAGCGGAATTCAGGAATGGTAGAAGGGGTGGATAAATAAATATATTTCATTCTGGTCCAAAATCCTTCCTGATGCTGTCAGAGACTCAGCTGAGTCTTCTTAGGGCCTTGCTGGATTTGTCTGTGTTTCCGTTATTGTCCTGTTGCTTTGGTTTTGGTAAATGTCATCTCTGAGGATTCAGTCCCGGGTTAGTCTGGAATCTCGCATTGGACTGAAGTAGGTCTGAGTCTCACCTCCACTTTCTAACTGTAGGACTTTGAGTATGTTGCTGACCCCTTTAGAGCCTCCATTCCCTCATCTGTGAAATGCAGTCAAACCCACCAATTGCTCAGAGTTGCTGAGCTGACCAGATCTCATACACCTGGCACACATAGTAGGTGATCAATAAAAGGTGGTACTATCATTTAATTTTATTTACCTTGAAGCCCCTAGTTCAAGTCGACCCTACTTTGATTATTAGCTGGAGCTCTGAATGCTGGTGTACAAATGATTACTTTCCGTGCCAAATACATCTTCCTCCCAGACTTCCACTCTGCCTTTGTGGGGCAGTAGTCACTGCTTCCTCTTGTTGCCTGCCTGAGTGGTACCCTGGGCCTGATGACTGACCCTGGAAGCATGTTCTCTGTGTCCTCAGCAGCTCCTGTGCTCCAGGGATGCCCAATCAGAGAGTCATTGTGGCAGGAGCAATGTCAGCCACACTGTGTTCCCACCAGTAAGATGACTGGTTTTGAAGATGGCCCTAAGAGTGGCTTCAGAGTCCAACAGACTGGGGTTCCACCATGAGCTTATTTGTTGTGTGACTGTGATTAACTCTCTGAGCCTCAGTTTCCTCATCTGTAAAATGGGAACATGATCATCTTTGCAAAGGGGTACATGAGATGCTGCTGCTGATTTGACCACATCAAATGGCATCATGACAAAGGACCTCCCCCAAACATGGGGAAAAGTGAGTGAAACAAGTTCCTAAATGACCTAAAAGCACGAAAGCTGGCTCATATTAAAAAAAAATAGAGTAAAAAGAAGCAATCTGACAAAGAGAAGAATATTCAATAAACCCTAGAGTGAATTTAGTTCATAGTGACGTACGTCACTGTCACCATGATGTAGAGCCACTGTTGACTCACCAAGAAGACACTAAATGGAGCAAAGGGTGCAGTGGATTTCTGCTGTGCTGCTAGAATCACCCAACTTTACAGTTTCAACTGGCTTTTCAACCTTAAAAAAATGCTTTTGGTAATTTTAGGAAAACATTAGTAATGAAGCAAATTTTCTAATGAAGCCCACTACAAATATTGAAAAAAAAATCATAATCAGCTATCTGCTAAAATGGTGTCGACTGTATCACTGGATTCACCTTAGCTGCACAAAATAAATTATTTGGAGACCTTTAAAAAAATAGTCACATCTAGACCCTGCCCCAGGAAAACCATAATCCTGGGGTAGGGAAGGTGGAGCATTTACAAAAGCTTCCCAGGACTGAGACCACTGGTATTAACCATAAGCACGGTTCACACACTTGGTGACTGAGGCTGGGGGGCTCAACCCTGGCCACGCATTAGAATCACCAGGGAGCTCTTAAAAATCCTAATGCTCCATGCTGGACCAAGGACATCCCAGCCTCTGGGGTAAGACTCAGGCTTCAGTGCTTCTGAAAGCTGCCTAGTTGATTCAATGCACAGCCAGGGCTGAAAAGCACCAGGGTAAGGGATACAGTAAAAGAAGAAAAAGAATGTGTCCAGGAAAATCTTAGGCCTGCATTTTGCAGCAGAATATTGATTATGTGGTACTGTGGTCAAATCCTGTTTATCCGTGAATGGCTTATCTGTTCTAAGGATAAATTACGGGCCAGGGTTAGCGATGCAGGGAAGGTAGCTAACATGATTAAGCACCTCCTATAAACCAGGTTTTTCCTACATCATCTCACTTAATTCACACAGTATCCCAGTGAAGTAGGTGGTGTCATCCCCATCTTATTAGGTGAGAAACTGAGACTCAAAGAGGCTAACTCACTCACATCAAGTCACTTCGCTAGTAAATTTGGCTCCAAGATCTGGGCCCCAGGTCACATTACCTCCACGGGGCAGAGAAAGAGAGTGTTGGTTTGTTTCTAACTATGTGTTAAAGCTAAATGATTTGCTGGATTACCTGTTTTGTTTCCACTCCTATCAGCCTAGATAAATGGGAGCTGACTATACAGATTGCTTATTCTGAAAGGACAATTTGGGTGTAAATTTATCCCTTATGTTAAAAAAAAAAGAGCATACACCCTAACAATTATTTCACATTTGCTCCCCTTTAATTTGGCAACAGGTTTTGAAGTGCTGAATGCTTCTAGCTGGTTCCTTCCCCGCAAAGGGTAAGGAATAAGAACCAGGATATGGAAACTAAATGTTTGCCTTTTCTAAACAGGTAAAAATTTTTCTCCCACGTGACTGTGAAGAGAAATAAAAAATGAAAACCCAAACAAATTATGGGCAGGCCTGCCAGTTATTCAACCTCGTCACTTGTGTCTCCTCTTCCCTGACAATCCTAGTGCTTTCATACAGATAAAGGCACAGCTGAGAGTTTGCAATCCCTTGAGCAGAGCTGGCTGTCATTAGCGACAGGCAGGCCCCCTCACAATCCCCTCTGACAGCCAGGACAGGTGGGACTTCCTGCTTTTCTAGAAAACTCCCAGTAATGTTTCCCAGACACAAGTCAGTGACCCGCTGGTCTAACATACAGGGCTGGCCGGGGCTTTTAGACAGCTACTGTACTTAAGCCAAATGCTAATAGTAATTTCAGGAGAAAAAAAAAAAATCTTGTGTAACTACTTCTAGATTCATAGTCTGTTTTTCTAAGTCGAGATTTATAGAACCCAGAATGTGTACAATTAGAAAAGATGGCCTATTATGTAAATACAGGTTTCAATCTAGTCAGTTATGACCATAACAAAAGGTCTCACTTACTGAATACGACTAAGTGGTTCTGGGTCAGAAAAGTGATTTACATTTTCTTAATCCTCATTAGGTTGTATTGTCCTCATTTTGCAAGTGACAACTGTGTCCCTGAGAAGCTGTCATGCACCTAATGTCACACTGCTACTAGGTGGTGGCCCCGGAGCCCGGTTGCTGCAGCCCTTTAAAACAAGATTGGGCGTTTTCACAAAGTGAAACCTGAAGGGCAGTGGTTTGAGATTGTTTTCACCCAGGACCTCCTTGAGAATGTGAATCTGTTGGTCTCTCCTCCTTTAAGGAGAAACACTTTTCAGATTTGGGTGAGAAGGTCTGGCTGAAGCCCCCTCGACAGTCCATCCCTGCCTTCCACCCCGCGGGCTCTGCAGATGTGACCGTGGCCCCTGCTTATCCCATGAGCACGTGCCCACCGGTACCTCAGCACCTTGACCGTCTCCATCCACTGCGTCTGCTCGCTCTCCCAGGGGTCTACTCGGATCCAGTCGGACGTCTGCAGGGCCAGCCGGGCCATGGCCACCCGGTGCCGGGCAGCGGCGAGGTCTTTCTTCCCGTAGTGGTCGTTGACCGGAGAGATGATACCCCCGATCACCTGGTACCTTCCTAGGTGGGGAGAGAAGTGGTGTTCTGGTACAGGCTTGCCACCTGGCAGCGGGAATTCAGCCAGGTGCTAACAATCTCTGGGCCTCATCCCAAGTGGGAGCAGACCCTGGAATTCTTTCCTGAGCGGGCCAGCTCTTGTGGGCCTGGTAAATGCACTTCAGGAACCATGTGCCTCTCCTCCAGAGACTTCTACAACCCAGGGGAGCCGAGAAGAGGCTGTGAGGGTGGAGCCCAGTCAAGGCTCCCAGACAGCAGTGCAGACAATTAGGGTCGGAATATGTTGGAAGAACATGATGGCTCCCTGCTGTGTGGGACTTACAGGGTACTGCTGTCCTCTAATCATGTGCGGGGCAAGAGTTACACATCTCAGCCCAGATAGGGGATTTCATGGATCAAAGATGGAGGGATGGGATTTAGCCTGAACCAAGTGTATTGGTAATGCGACCCACTGCACAGGCCCACTGTGGGCTCTGGAGGACTGCTGCTAAGGGGATGGAAGGCATACTTTGGAAAGGAAGTGGGCTGTCTGATGGGCGATGCTCATGGCTCAGGGGCTGGAGAATGAGGCATTTTAGGCTTAGAGCTCCAGTGAACTGTAGAAGGTACAGAGAATCATCACGGAAAGAGTAGGAATGGGACTCAGAGAGATATGGAGTGGGCCTCGGGTGGAAGCTCTAGTTCTATCACTCACTAGGATGCTTCAGGTAAATTACCAAACTATTGGAAAAAATAAAACGCTTAGCCATTTGAAGTTCAGTTTGCTTATCTGTAAAATGGGTTAATACCTGCTTTGCAGGACCTTATGTTAAAGGTGAAATTAGATAATGTTTATGTGGTGAGATAATATTTTGACTTAGTATATGATATATTAAAAATTGGATTATAAAATTTAACATGCACATAAAAGGGGATAAAACACATACGGGTTTGACAAAGAGTTATAAATTACAAAGTATATCCTCTTTTAATCATCACCTAGATTATGATACAGAAGTTCCCTATCACAGCCCCCACACTCTGATGGAAGCTAATCACTGTTCTTACTTTTATAATATTAATTCTCTTGCTTTCCTTTATAGCTTTACCATGTATTTACACAACGTTAAAAAACAGACTCATTTCACCTGCTTCGGAAACTTTTATAAATGGAATCATACTGAACGTATTCTTTCGTTAAGCTTTTTTCACTTTGTTAGTAAAATTAATGTAGTCCAACCAGTTTCATTGCTGCATAATGTTCTATTGTGTGATTCTATACCAAATGATCGATTCATCTCATTCTTACTGGACTTGGCTTGATTATGGCTTTAGACAATCACAGACAATGCTGCTATGAAAATCCTCGCACAAGTCGCCCTGTGCACACAGGCATCTATTTCTTAGGATACGTACCTAAGGGTGGAACTGCTGAGCCATTTGGTAGATGTGTTTGCAGCTTTACCAGATGATGCCAAGCAATTTCTAAAGTGGTTGTAGATATTAAGCTTCCAACCAGCAGTGTTTGAGAGTTTCATTTGTTCCGCACCATCGAGCAAATAACCAGACAGGGTTACTGTCAGGATTTTCCCATCTGATAGACATGTAGTTATACCTTATTGTGGTTTTTATGTTCATTTTCCTGCTTATCAAGGAGCCTGCACATTTATTCATAGATATTATTAAATATTCAAGCTTAATTATTTTTGTGAAGTGCCTGTTCAAATCATTTGCCCTTATTTTGGGTTATCTGCCTTTTTTATCGATTTGTAGAGTTCTTCACGTATTCCAAATATTAGTCCTTTGTTGGCTGGTTATTATGTGTCACAAATGCCTTCTCTCACCTGATGGCTTGTCTTACCGTTCTTTTGATGGGATCCTTGGAAAACAAGTGTTCATAATTTTTACGTAATTGAGTGGTCAGGTTTTCTTTTACGGCTAGTGCATTTTGTGTCATGAAGAAATTTTTTTATATTATCTCATAGAAGCTTTATAGTTTTGTTTTTCACATTTGTGTCTTTGTGCATGACGTGAGTCCTATTAAATTATTTTCCATTTGGTGAGCCAATTATTCCAGCATCGTTTACCAAAAAGATTCCTCCGCCCCGATGCTGTGCACTGTCACCCGTGCGGAACAACTGGCGTCCATCTGTGCACCGGGCTGTTCCTCCACTCTCTGTTCTGTTCTGTGGCCCCGTCTACCATCCCTGTACAATGCCACATTGCCTTGCTTAACAGAGCTTTGGTACACATCTTGATGTCTGGTTAAGCAAATCCTTCTGCCTTGTTCTTCAACAGTATCTTGGCAATTCTTGACTTATGGCATTTTTTGTATAAATTTTAGAAAGCACTTGTCAAGTTCCACAAAAATGAAACAGTTCCCCAACTAAAAACAAACAAAAAACTTGCTGAAATTTTGATAGGAACTGAATCAAATCTATAATTCAATTTAGGGAGAACTGACATCTTTACAACACTGAGCCTTCCAATCCACGAGCATAGTATATCTTTCCACTTATTTAGGTCTTCTTAAATGTTTCTAAAAAAAGTCTTCCAATTTTTCTTGTAGAGCAATTATATATCTTTTGTAAGATTTATTCCTAGATATTTGATTTTTTTGATGCTATTATACACGGTGTTTTAAAAATATTTTCCCTATTGTTGATAATTGATTTAGGTATCCTGAATATGTATCTTGTAAACCTGCTGAACTCTCTCATTAATTCTAACAGTTTATCTGTAGAGTCTTTTGAATCTTCTACGTCTAAAATAATACCATCCGAAAATACTGACAGTTTTGCTGCTTCATTTTCAGTCCTTTTACACTTTTTTCTTGTTGTATTGTTTAAGATCTGTTGTATTGTTTAAGACCTGTAGTATAATGCTGAATAGAGATGGTGTTACCAGGCAATCTTGTGTTATTCCCACAATCAGAAGAAAAATTTTCAAGTTTCATTATTACATATGATGTTTGCTGCAAGTTTTCCACAGATACCCTTTTTCAGTTGTGGCAGAGACCATGCCATGTGTTCATTAAGACTCATTTTTATTTTTCCCCTTTCTGGGCATACAGAAAATGAACACTTCTGTTTCTCTTGAAATTAGGTTGGGTTTATGTGATTTGACTAAATTATAGTCAATGGGATGTGGGTGGAAGGGATGTATGCTTCATCTAGACTTGGCCATAAAAATTCTTGTACGACCTTCCAGCTCTTCATGGTGAATCTGAAAGCTACAATTAAGATAGCAAAGCCATAAATGGGGTCTACTGGGATCCCTGAGACAGCTTGGAAGGGAAATGCCCTGTAGACCTTCTGAGCCTATGTGGGATTTATCTGATGAGAGATAAACTTCATGTAAGTGTTAAGCTCCTCAAGTTGGGGGATTTGTTATTGCAGCCTAGCCTGGTCTATCCTGACATATGTGTTATTTAAGAGATGTTTAATATCCGAAATATATAAAGAATGTATACAACTCAACAATAAAAAAACAAACACCCTGATTTTAAAATGGGCAGAGGAGATGAATAGACATTTTTCCAAAGAGGACACAACAGGCCCATGAAAAGATGCTCAACATCACTAAACATCAGCGAAATGGAAGTCAAAATCACCATGGGGTACCACTCACACATGTCAGAATGGCTATTATCAAAAAGATAAGAAATAAAAAATGTTGGTGAGAATGTGAAAAAAAAAAAGAACACTCTTGCACTGTTGGTGGAAATGTAAATGGGTGCAGCCACTGAGGAAGACAGTATGGATTCCTCAAAAAATTAAGAATAAAACCATCATACAATTCAACCATCTCACTTCTGGATATTTATCCAAATAATATGGGAATACTAATCTGAAAAGATATATGCACCCCTATGTCCGCTGCAGCACTATTTACAATAGCCAAGATATGAAAGCAACCTAAGAGTCCATCAACAGATGACTGGATAAAGAAGCTGTGGTGTATATATATATGTGTGTGTGTGTATATGTATATCACATATATACACACATATATAACACATATATATGTACACAAATATATACATACTATGTATATACCATATACACACACACACACACGTATACATACAGTGGAATACTACTCAGTCATAAAAAGATGAAATCTTGCCATTTGTGACGACATGGATGGATCTTGAGGGTATTATGCTAAGCAAAATTAGCCAGATGAAGAAAGACAAATACCAAATGTGGAATATAAAAAAACTAATAAACCAAAAAAAATCCCAAATGAATAAACAAAACAAACAAAAACAAACATGAACACAAACATGTACATACAGAGAACAGAGTAGAAGTTACCAGATGGGGAGGTGTGGGCGAGGGTGAAACAGGTAAAGGAGATCAATGGTATGTTGACAGGTGGAAACTAAATTGTTGGTAGTGAGCACATGGTTATGGTATCCAGAAGTAGAAATATAATGTTGTACACAAGAAACTTACACAGTGTTATAAATCAATGTTGCCTCAATAAAATTAAAAAAAGAGAGACATTCCCAGCTATTCCTAGTTTAAGAGCTTTTGTCATAAATGACTTCTCTGCAATTCTTGGAAATGATTGTGTGGTTTTTCTCCTTCAATCAGTTATTATAGTGCATTGCATTGATTAACTTTCTAATCTTTAATATTGCATTCCTGAGATAAACTCTGTTTGGTCAAGATATATTATCTTTTCAATGTGTTGATGGATTCACTTTGCTAATTTTCTTTTTAGGAAGTAAGAGAAGTCTACAATTTTCTTTTCTTTAAATGTCCCCATCAGGTTTTGGTATCAAGGTCATGCTAGTCTCATAACAAGTGCTGGGAGTTCCCTCCTTTACTACGCTCTAAAAGAGCTTGTGTAGGATTGAAATAACATCCCCCCGCTACCTTGGGTGTTTGGTAGAACTCACCAGTGAAGTCTTACGAGGCTGAAGTTTTAATTTGTGTGTAATTTTTGGACTACGGACTTAATTTCTTAAATGGCTATGAAACGATTCAGATTTTTATTTATTCATTATAATTTTT